TCTTTTTCTTTGTTTTCATTATCTGGGCCAAGCCAAGAATGTGTTGTTTATCTTCTCAGAAACCAGTTTTTAGCTTCATTGATTCTTTGTATTGTGTTCTTTGTTTCTAGTTCACTGATTTCTGCCTTTATTTTTTATTACTCCTTGCTGTCAACTAGGTTTGGATTTGGTTTGTCTTTGTTTTTCTCACTTTTGGGTTGCACCATTAAGCCTTTTATTTGTGCTCTTTCTGATTTTCAACGTAGTCTCTTGGAACTATAAATTTTCCTCTTAGGAATGCTTTCAATGTATCCCAGAGTTTGTGTTGTGGAGTGGTTTTACTCCATATAGTTCCAGAAAGCTTTTATGTCTTTATTAATTTCTTCTTTGACTCATTCACCATTTAGTAATGAGGTGTTACATTTCTGTGAGTTTTCATATTTATTAAAGACGTGTTGCTGTCCGTTTTAAGTTTTACTGCATTGTGATCAGATAGGATACAAAGAGTGATTTCAAACTTTTTGAATTTATAATCATTTCTTTTGTTTGCCAGGAAGTGATCTATTTTATCAAAGCTTTCTTATGCTGCTGAGCAGAATGTGTATTATTTGGTGTTTTTCTATAGATATCTGTTATTTGATTTATGATGTCAATTAGTTCTGATGTTTCTCTGTTGGGTTTTTTGTTGTTGTTTTTGATCAACTTGGTCTGCTTATTGGAGAAAATGAAATTAGTATTGAAATGAACTAATATTAATAGATTGAGGTTAGTCCGTGCCTTTTTTGGAATTAAGTGTCCTACTCAATGTCTTTTGATTGCTTTTGTTTGGTCAGATTTTTGATGTTATTACCACAGTGACATCTGTTTCCTTCCTCACTTCATTGGAGTACTTTATTCATTCTTTTGCTCTAAGTGCCTCATTTATAACTAAGATGTATTTGTTGTAGACAGCAGACAGATGTTTACTTGATTTTGTTTTTTAATTCATTTAGTCAGGCTGTGCCTTTTGAATTGAGACCATTGATCTATAAAGTTATTATTGAAATGTTTGTGTTAATTGTGGTCATTTTGTCCTTGATTGTGTTGTTCTTTGTGTTCTCATTGATATTTTGTGTTTTAGTGATTGTGGCTCTACCTTCCTTCTATTGCATTTCTGCTATGCTCATTCCTTTTTTCAGCATGAATTAATTCTTTCTATATTTTCTTTAGGTTTGTTTATTGAAGATAAAATTTTCTACTGTTTATGAAAGTTTTTCTTTCCCTTTTAATCAGGGGAGATAATTTTGCTGGGTGCACTAGTTTCTACTGGCATAGTCTTTTTGGTCTTGGAATGTATTGGGCCACTCTTTTCTGGTTTTCAAAGTTTAAATTGAGAAATCAGTTGTTATTCTGATAGGTTTTCCTTTATATGTAACTTTGTGTGGTTGTTGTCATTGTTTTTCTAGGCTTTCAATTCTCTTTCATTGCTACATATAGTTACTGTTTTAACTGTGTGTGGATTTTATTGTTTCTAGTCTGTTTATTTTGTGTTCTATGTTTGTTTTTTGTTTGTTGTTTGTTTTATCTGTATAGGTATGTCTTTCCTTAGCTTTCCTCTATGAATATTGTTGAACATCTGGTCTCTGCCTTTATCAGAGGATTATTCTTCTTCATTTATGCCTACAATTCAAAGGTTGTTTTTTCTGTTGTTTGTTTATTTATTGTTTTTTAATTATGTCCCATATTTCCTATATGTTTCTCTCCTGCATTTTTAATATTTTTATATTCCTTGCTTATTTGATTTAGATCCTTTGTTTCCTCTCTAACCCTTATATTCATTCTTCTGCTTGATTGCTTCTACTTGTAATACTTTCCTTTGGGTTTTCTAGTTGATTTATTTAGGTTTTCAATTCCATATTAATTTCAACTTCAGTTCTCTTCAACATTTCTGTCTTCTTAGTAAAATTCACTCTCAAATCCGGATTGTCATTGTCATTTCCATCCGTCTTATATTTCTGTTTTTTAGGGCATCACAATGGGTACTTATTTTCCTTAAGTTCTTCCTTCTTAATTTCATTGAGTGGTTGGAGTCTTCTTCAGACTTCTTGAATTCTTTGATGAAGTTTAAATTATGTCTCCTGGAGTTCATCTAGGTAATTCTCATTGGCAAACATTTCTACAAGGGTGGTAGATTTTAGAATGAAGATGCTGGCTTGATTTTTCATACTGTTTGTGTTTTTATGATAAGATCTTGGGCCATTTTTGTTAGTTCTGAATCTGTTATGGACAGAGCAGAAAAGAAGATCTGCAAGCAGACTGGACCCAGAGATTGGAAATTGCTTGGCTGGAATGAATTCAGGTGGACAGAAAGGATTGGGCTAGTGTACAAAATCTTCTGGTCCAAACCTGGAGTGTGGGGGTATATACATCTGGCTGGACAGAAAGGTTGGATATGGAGTGTCCCTTGGTTAGGAATCAGTAGAGAAGATCCTGACTGAGACCATTTTTGGTTCAAGCTCAAGAGACTAATCTAGACAGGGGTACTAATCCTGGACAGATCTGGTGGGTTTATAGGGGAGGTATGACATGTGGAAAGTCAGTAAGAGTCTTATGGCTAGAACCTGGAAAAGGAAGTGGGAAATTTGGCTTGGTGATGTGATTAAATGCAGTTCAGAATGGATAATTATGGCTCCTGAGTGAAGCCTAGAGGTTGGCTTGATGCACTTGTTGGTGTAGCCAGAGTAGGGCAGGGCACTGGATGTGAAACTCTGGGTATATCTGGAAGCACAGATTTGGAGGAGACTTACGCGGATGGGCTCTAGAGAAGGGCATAAGAAGTCTGACTCTATCATAATTTTCTCATGCCACCCTTTGTGACCAGCAATAGATTATATAAAGTGAAAAGCTAAAGCAAGCAGTTGTTAATTCTGGAATTCAATGGGAATTCTACCTTATATGGTGCCTATCTATGATAGAAAATTATCATCAAAATTTAATTTTATCTAATAGTACTTATTGGTCCATAAGCCATGTAATTTTGTTTAATCTGCAAGAAGAGAGTTGCATGGAGCCCATGACAGCTATGAATGTGGCCCAACACAAAATCATAATCTTAAAGCACTATGAATATTTTTGAGATTTATTTTAACTAGATAGAGTGGTACTGAAGCATAAACTTTAAAGATGACAGCATCATGCAGTATCAAGATTGTACACAGCATTTTTATACTTAGATATGAAGAGTCACATATATGCCATAAAAATAAATATACACAGAGTCTCGCTATTTGAGGATATTTTGTGGGAGAATCTTTTGAGGTAGAGTTTTAATATCTCAAACAAACCAAGACATATCTATTATTTACACCCATCTAGCTGCATAATCAGTGATTTAAAAGTCAATGACAAATAATGAACTTTATATCTGAATCAGAAATCTATTCAAGCGTGAGAGTTTTCCATTTAACTTACATTGCACTGTAGCTCTTTACTCAATTTTATGGACTTATTTGCTGAAGAAGTTTAGGTTCAATTCATATAGAATTATTTTATTAACTCTTACATATTCTATACTAGAACCAAAAGCTGGGTCATGGGGAGTTCTTTATAGTTACTGGGGAAGACTAACTAAGAGAAGGAGATATTTATACTCAAGTGGGGCTTGATACCAAATAAGCAGCAATTCTCAGGGTCTCATGTTAAGTTCTACATTTGTACACATTTCAAATATAAAAAATATAATAGTCTTGGTTGAAAATATATCTTCTAAAACTGAATATGAGAAAGAAAGTTTGAGTGTTTGTATATCGTACCTGCACCATTTATTCTTAAATATAAATTGGTGCTGTTAGGATCTCAAGATCCAGTGAGTGCTGCCTCACAACTTCTACCTAGTACCTTCAAGTCTGGACCAACTTATAGCTTAATGTAACTATTCAAAGATGTACAGTGCAAAAGGAAACATGGGAAAGGCTCATATATCAGAGCACTCATCATTTATCAACTCTGTCTAAATTCTGATTTTTCAAGAACTGCTTCTTTAAACCTGACTTCAGTCTTCCCTCATAGTCTTTCATCAGTTTTGAACAGTCATAACTGTTTTTCTTAAATTCAACTCCATTCCATATATATATTATTTATTTTCAGTTAAAATCTATTACATCATGCCCCGGCTTTTCTCTCTGACCCCTTTCATGCATCCCTGCTCCCTCTCAAATCCATAGCTTTTTTTACTGTAATGATTTTAGTAATTACTTCTTTTATTTTTGAGATTACAACATCATTGCATCATCCCTCTTGCCCTTTCTTCCCTGCAAACCCTCTCCTAACTCTCTTTTAAATTCTTTGCCACTTTTTTCACTAATCATTGTTTCATGCATATATGTGTATACATATATATTCCTACATATGACCTTCTCAGTTTGTGTGATGTTACATATATGCATATATATTTTTCAGGGGCTGACCATTTGGTGTTGGATAACCAATTGGTATGCTCTTCCTTACTTCTCCCACTCTCAGCATTCTTTCGTTAGTTGTCTGTAGTTCTTTGTGTAGGGTTGAAGCCTTGTAGGCTTTCTCCCATCCACTTTGCATGTCTATCTTTGTCTTTGTTAACTCATGTTTAGGCAGTCACACAAGTGAGAATTTGTGAGTATAGCTTCTGACTACTAGAAGACAATGTCAGAGCATTTCTGATCTTTTGGTTTTTACAGGCTTTCTGCCTCTCTTCTTCAACATTCCCTTAGCTTTAGGTGAGGGGGTTGATTTTTAGATGTATCCAGTTGCAACTGAGATCTATCACTCTTCTTTTTGATTGGTTGTGGTTTTATGTAATGTTCTCTGGCTGTTGCAAGGAGATGTTGCCTTGATAAGAGGTGAAGACAAATATTTAGAATGTAGTCAGGGATTATGCAGGTTTAGTAAAATGATGGTTGTAGGTTCTCCTGTAAGATTCCTGTCTGTCAATATTATCCCTAGGTAGCTGGCAAGGTTTCCCCCTTGTTGCATAGGACTTAACATATTTAAACTCTTCTATTTAATAGGACAAAGTGGGAACATGGATACCCATCACTACAAATCATGAAGTCTATATTCTAGCATTACAGGAGATCATATCTCGGGGCTTAACACACATGGAATGCAATGCATAAGCTCACCCTGGGAAAACCACTTTTGTGATCATTATATCTTCCTTTCCAGGTACCTTTTTTTTCTTTAATTATTGTTTTACACACACACACACACACACACACACACACACACACC